GCGATCTCGTAAATTCGCCAGCACTTACGTAACGCGGACGTGAAATTGCGTTAGTTTCCGAGAATGTAATTAACACAGACGGATGTATTTCCAAAATGTATGATGTAACATTTTTTATGTAATGTTTTACGTAACGTTTTAAATATTACATAATTGGTAAAAAAACATTTCTGAAAAAGCTATTTTATATAAATATTTTATATAAGGATTTTTGCAATATCTCTCGAAATTCTCTTTGTTCTTGTATATTTGACAAAACATCCAATTTTATGTATAGGCGGTACAAAGACACTCCACGGGATAATTAGCGTTGCACGTTCAAACGTGCTGCGTCAGTGCCATTTGGCTGTTTTCTCATTTATAGAGATCGCGGCATTTACATTGTAACAACTTCAACGCTGCGCGAGATCATGAGAGAGTATAAACTTGCCGACTATTTGCGGAAGTCACGATGCCTCGAATATACGAAACACGGGAGAAACATAACAAGTAATAGTTTTACCGTTGAAAAAACGCGTTGAAAAAAAGCCGCGGGGATACGGAGGGGCTACTGAACTTTTTGAAGTAGAGAAAGAGAGAGAGCTTCTGTTTCTGCGTACCGGGGCGACGACAAATGTTACCGCGGGGCTACGAGTCCGGGACAAATATATTTTTCACGCATCCTTCCCCTATGCAAAGTGATGTAGCTATTACGTTGAGCGATAGCGCGTCTCCCGGATAACGCGGTATCCGTCGCGACGGCTTTTCGCTTATTCGCGCAGCTACGACGTATCAGTAGGTTCTCGCGAGATAGTGAGGGAGAAAGAGATACGCCGATAAGTCTAGCCAAATAATAACAAGTCACCGAGAAATGAAACGTCGTCACGCGTTTCCCGTGGCTTTGTCTTCTTGGATACGTTCACCTACCGGGATATCTTGCGCGATAAATATTTGCGAGGGCGCAGAAAGAAGAGTAGTCGTATAATAAATCTCAAAGTTAACCGCGTATAAAATTCACCGTGTGATCCGGCAGTATTATTCGTTCGCATTATATATTTCGTACACACTCCGTGTATATTTTTAGAGATTTACTTATTCACATTTCCGCACACGCGATGTATACGCAGACACACGCGAAATGTATTCCGTCGAAAAAAATCTGGGAGCAACCTGAAAGCTCCTTCTTTCTACCGTACGCGTCCTCCAAGTTAAACTTTTCACAGTGGCATAAGACGCTTAGTATTTATACAGAAGTTTCCAGAGACTTAATTCTATAACGTTTTCCTTCTTGGAATGGCTTCCACCGTACATTGAGTACTCAGTACGTAAATGGTACAAAGTTCCACGGACAAAAGTCCAGAAGGAAAACGTCTTCCCACTATGCGTTCAACGAGATGGAGATAGAAAGACTGTTGCTCAGATCAGATTTTTTTTCGTGATGATAAACAACTTTTTTACATAGAACCCATTGAGGAAACAAATGTATATATAATTGCAATTCGTACAATAGTTTAACGTGTTTTAATGTTACTCTGGAGCTTAGAATTTTGATTTTGATTAATAATGATAATCGCAATAACCTGACAGTCCAAAGAAGCAAGATTTGCTTATCGTGTACATTCCATCCGCAGTTAAATAAGTTACATATACATAAACAAGTATCGTGCGGTATTTTTGGAGTCTCGCGTATATCGCGACCGAAACTGTTGCAGCACCGTCGTCGAAATGCAATTTGAAATCCGCTTTTAAATATGTCGCGCGTCACCGACACCGAAAAGCCCGGCAAACATTGTGTGACATCCGTCGTTATTTATTCGGCACGATGAACTCCGCGATATGTGCCGTATATTATGCGATAAGAATAGTCGATTATAATTTGTATCTCACCCTCGATTTTCACCCCCGACTCACTTTACAAGAATAAATTTTTCATGCTCGGATTGCCTCGCGGCGATTGTCATTCGCGATTAACGACTACATTCGTAACGGGTATATTGGAAACGGAATTTTACTGCAAACCAGAAGCGATAATCTACTTTTACGTTTGTGTTAAAGCGCACAGAAACCGGGCAGTAAATCGACGAATACATAATGTTCCGCACCGTTTCGTGTTTTTCATGTTTTCGAACACTCTGTCGCGAAATTATGCCTTTGTAGCACAATTGGTTTAACGTTCGTTAATAAATCATGTGTGTAATGTTTGATCGAAATAAGTTAAACGATGCATTAAGCAATCCGGCGATACGAGCGATTATTAATGTGCCATAATTATTAGCGCGCGATTATTCAAGGGAATGAGTCAGCGTTTTCGGAATTTGCATACTCACGTTCGGCTACATAATTCTCATAAACGCGGCTATTTTCGATTTTACTCTTCGCGGCCGCGAATTTAGTGTTACTCGTACGGCTATACGTCATCCTGCACCCTTTAACCTCCTCCCACTTTAACGTTTTAACATCGAACTAATGCTAACACGGAACCGCACGTCGCTCTAATGGACGTTAAGAGTATGAACGCCAGCAGAGCTAACAACCGGCAAGCCAATGATTCGAAACCATCATACATTCAATGTACATTAGCCATCGAACCACGATGCATTTAGCCCGCGGCATTAGGTTTGTAAACGACTAATCAACTGCATATCGCTCGCGCGCGTACATAATGTTAACTGGTTACATGCAATTCAAAATTCAGAACCCATCTCCATCAAGACGGGCGCGGCAGCGCGGCAAAATAACGCGCGCATCGTTCCTCGTTACGAGACGTTACGTTCGTGAGTGAACCGAATGAGGGAGCGTGCGATGCGTTAGAGCGGCCGTCCCGAGGGAAGATCTTGGCCGGTTAATAATAAATATGACGACTAAAGTATCTCGGCGATTTCATCTAAAGGATTAGTCGGAGAAAATTTCTTGACTTTAATACTGTACAAACTGCGTGAAAGCGCGCGTGAATTCGTGCGGTATTTACGTCTTCCCCCCCCCCTCTCTCTCTCTCTCTCTCTCTCTCTCTCTCTCTACTTCTATCTCTCTGTCTACTCCGAGCCGGTATTTAATGGCGAGAAGAAGTTGGCGGGGAAGTTAAAGGGCTAAACTTGCCGTTGCATTCCAACCTGTGTGCGAGACTTTCCGGCGGATTACCGATTAAAAGTTTAACAGCCCGAACTTTCCGAGCGACTTCGCACAAAGCGGCCAAAGTCGAATGGTTGCGCCGGTTGCGCACGCCCTAAAAGGGGATGTTTTAAAAGCTGATTATGCATCAGTAACAACCCCATCGAGTCGTTTCAACAGATTCCCGAGAGAGTTATTGAGTCGCACGCTGCCACGGCGTATCGCGCGTAGTATTCTCTCTCGCGTCACCACGTACAGCCGTGTGAGAGTTTCACCTTTCGCCTTTTCTTTGGTCGAAAGTATTAACCGAACGAAAAACTTCATGAGAGTAAAACACACTTGCCGCACGTTATGAAAGCTCCGCATAATATTAGCATACCTCCTCGGCCGCATGAAGCATATCTCCATGATAGAGCACGTCGAATATCGCGCGACCAAGGACGAGCGGGGAGATTGATGGAATTTTTGAGTCCGGCCAAATATTCACAAACTCTCTCTCTCTCTCTCTCTCTCTCTCTCTCTCGCTCTCTCTCTCTCTCTCTCTCTCTCTCTCTCGCTCTCTCTCTCTCTGTCTCCTCTGGTCTTTCTATAACCATCGTGTCAACAAATGCGATACTTGCTCCTTGCGTTTAAGCGCACTCTCGTGTGTTACTCGAAAATGCACGCACGTTACACGGGAAAAACGGCCCGGCCGTTGTAAATATATAACTGTACATTTAACAGAATCTTGGAGAGCTTTGTTTTCAAAAAAACGTTTGTCGCCGCGGAGGAGGACCGAGGAACGACCCGTGTCGCGCTAGGAGAATAAGTCAGCGAGAAAAGCTGAAATATTATCTTTTAAAAGCGCGGACATTAAGAGCGTTATGAAGTTACGTAACAAAGGAGAAGTTTAGGTGCCAAGAATATTAAGTTCTCCTAGCGGCATGCGCTCAGAAAGAAAAAAAATGGAAACAAGAGAGAGGGAGAGAGAGGGAGAGAGAGAGAGAGAGAGAAAAGTAGAGGAGGACGAAAAGAGGAAGGAAAATGAAAGTGCTAACGATATGAGGAGAGGAAAACTAAAGCCGTGGCGTTCTTCTCCTCTGGCGAGGAAAGAAATGGCGGAATATATATATATATATATATATATATATATATATATATATATAGTATATATGTATGTATGTATATGTATATATATATGTATGTGTATATATATATATATATATATATACATACGTATATTTGAAATATACCGAAATGGACACTTTCCATGTGCGCCGAACTGAGATAATATTTGCATATTTTATTTGCAAAGTACGATTCCACGCACTCCACGAAATGACGTGGGGGTTCTTTCGCCGCAATGTCGGCAAACGTCACGCAGAGCGAAACAATGAGAACGCTCATGGACGTAGGAGGAGTTCTCCCCCGCCGCCGCCGTCGTCGTCGTCGTCGTCTTATGTCCAGAAGAAATTTCCGAGTGAAAACAGCGAAGCTATACCGACGACCGCCGCAGCTTCTTCTGCGGGTCCGCGCAGTTCTCTCTACTCGGAGAAAGCGAGAGTCCCCGTTACGGTCCTTCCTCATCTGCATCTCGTCCGCCTTTATATACCTTCCTTCTCCTTATTTCCGTACCGTCTTTATATAGCGAGCCAACGGAGGAAGAAAAGCACTTCGCTTGTGCAGATATTTCTCTTTATGTACACTTGACATGTAAAAATTTCAACGACGAGAATAATTCGTGCCGTTTGTATGCGGAGTTTCAGATGGTAGCTACCATTGTATTATCGTGCATCCGAGCGTGATAAACAGGTTAAAGGAAGATGGAGCAAGATTGTAAGGTAAATACGTAATATCGCGGAACCCACTGAACTGATGTGGAATGAAGTTAACGCGCCATGTTGCTACGGGAGGGGAGGGGAGAGAACGAAGTGTTACCAACCGTTTCGATTTACATTGCGCGACTAATTCCCCGTGTAAGTCGAAGCGCAAGCATCGTCAGCGAGCGTAAAAAAACAAAGTAATTAAGATGACGTCACGCGAATTAATGCGGGACGATGCGTGAGTATGTGTGAAATCGTTTGTGAACGATACAACTTCATCAACTGTCCCGGATAACCTGTAATGCGACGAAATTCCAGGCCGCGTTAACCCGCGTATTTGCAAAAATCCAAACGCGACGCCGACGGCTCTTCACTGCTGTGCATTGAAGAATCATGAGCGCGGAACATGCTTGCACGAGACGCCGTCATCCCAACGCGGAAAGCCCGTATGACGAAGTGTTGCACAAAGTCGACGACAGCATTTTATCCGTTAAATTACCCAAGAACAAGCATCGCATCGAAGGCACGGATAAACACGCGGACAAACGAACGCCTTTCGCTCGCGTTAATTGCGTGGATAAAGACGGTAATGTTATCAAAAGCAACAGAGAAACGGTATACGCGAATATAATTCCAATTAGTTAATATCGCAAGCTAAACGACGGAACACATCGATAGTAATATTCTCCCCGAAATTAAAGCGATTACAATATTACATAACAACCACGCGTATATATATATATATATATATCTCTCTGTACAAGGTAACAGATGCACGAAGGAATGCCCGAAAGTCGAGGTGATGCATAATCAACGACCACCGCCGAAAAAACCGGAAGAGGAAATGCTCATACTCAAAACAGTACAGCATATTACTGCCGCCAACGAAATGAAGCACAGTCTTGAGGTGGAATTTAAATCGCCACGGAATTACATCCCATTGCCAAAACCTGGACCACCTCCACCCATAATCGTTCCGAAGGAGACCGTTATCGTGAAAGCGGATAAAGAAAAAAGAAGCCGAGAAAGAAAAAAAAAGTAAAGCGATAAAGATAAACATCGAGCAAAGTTTGAGCGGGTGCCATCTGCGAAAAATATTTTACTCATATAAGGCCCCTGCGAAGAATCTCTAATTTGCATGGCAACGACAGACGGGAGCGAACAACCGTTTAATAAAGCGAAAACGCGGAGCTAATAAAGAATTCTTTTTCGAAATCGTTGTTTGCTTCCAATGTTCTTTCCGTAAAAGATGAGGATAAAGATTCTTCGAACGTAAATGCCGAGGAAAGGGTCCGAACTCGCGAGGGAATTTGATGCAACAACAATAGTCGTCACAAGGTGACGTTCATATCTTCCTCGGTCCGCCGCGGTATAAATCGAAAGTTCGACGTTAGGCACGAGCCAAGTCTTGTAGATTTACGAGTAGCGCGAAACTGAAGTGTTTGCCACTTTGTCGAAAATGCGGCGGGGGGAGGTGGGAGCAAGCAAGAGACGCAGAGTCGAATAACGCGGGACGATAAATCACCGGTATTATATTCTTGCTCGTCTTGGGGAAACAATAGATCATATCGCGCATACGGATACGCCGGTATTAAACGTTTTTGGTTCCATTGTCGCCCGACGAACGCGCGCCGTGCCAGCGGTCGGGAACCTTTTTAAGCCGTGCTTTAAGTTTCCACCCTCGCCAATAAATCACGACGATTTACCTGCATGGTAAGAGAAACGCGAACTTGAGCACCCTCAAAGACCGTCGCCCTCCCCGCTGCCCTAATAAAGGGTTGAAAAACGAAGGATTTCCGCAAATATTCCATTATGACGTACGCTAAGAGCCGGTGTAAAGTGTCACTCGAGCCTCTCGTATTGCGTCCAGCAAGGGAAACTAGGAAGCCAAGGAAGGAAAAGGTCAACGAAGACACGCGAGAGGATCGATAACTCGTTGAGGGAGGAGAAGGGACAATAAAGAGAGCTACTTTTTGACGGATATAAAATATTCATCGTCGGCTGGTCATGGAGTGGAAATTGAAAAAGCAGTCTCTCCGTGAGAATCTTTGCGATAACAGTAGTTGGAATTCTCAAAGGCGTAACTCGCTCTGATATCCTCTCTCTCTCTCTCTCTCTCTCTCTCTCTCTCTCTCTCTCTTTCTCTCTCTCTCTCTCTCTCTCTCTCTCTCTTTCTCTCTCTCTCTCTTTGTGTCTTTTCATCAGCATAAAATAGTGGAATTAATGTTGGAATGAAGCCTCGTTGAAAAATGTTCCCGTCCTGATGTATATATACCCTATATTCCCACATTTCTTGTTACTCTCGCGCAGACTGAGAGATCGGACCCTTCTGGGCTCCACTTATTCCCGCCACATGATACCCACGGCCCTAGATCTTCGCGACTCGAGCTTTGACTTTTATCCCCCCTCGCATGAATCAGGCGTACTTACGAGCGACATGATTTGCAGCGGAAAAAATGGGATGAGAGAGGGAAAAAAAAAAGAGAGAGAAAGAGAGGAAGAGGTGGAAGAAAGAGAGGAACAGACGTAACAAGGGAGAGAAGCTGATAAAAAATCGCGTGCGTGACGTTGTCGCAGTGACGTAACCGGTGACAGATCGTCCCCGAGAAAAGGTGCTGTAGTTACATTCCAAGATTTGGGAAGCGTACTACTTCGGTGACGAGGGTGGCGGCGCATAAGATACATCCCACGATCGATGGGAGGAGGAAGAAGAGGAGGAGGAGGAGGAGGAGGAGGAGGAGGAGGAGGAGGAGGAGGAGAGGGATGGAGTGATGAAACGTCATTTGTCCGCGGACACGAAATACTCACAGGCGCTCAACACGAAGAACATCCGGTGCGGTTACGAAGCCGTAAAAGCCTGGCAACAACAAATGCATCCGCGTGTTGCAAAGGCACGCGAGTACACGCGCAAACATTGGCCCGTGCAGCGGACGGCTGTAATTGGGCGCTGGTTACAGAATTCATTGCCGCGTTTAGGGCCTTAAACGACCGGGTGATATATCACGATTAAACGCGACCATCACTCTAATGTGCAACGCCGCGTATAAAATAGTGCGGACGGCATTCAAGTAGTCGTAAAAAAAATCGATATACATATATATATATATATATATATATATTCATTTATTTATATGCAGAGTGAATCATCTGACGTCAGATTCCAAAATATCTCCATCACTTTTTGATATTAGGAGAGTAAACGTGTTCGAAGAATCTTTTATCGATGAAAATATATAAGGAAGACAGATCACCATTTCACACGATAATTACATTACCACAAGGTTATTTTTTTTCAAATTCTATCAATTAAAATTTTAGAATCTAACGTTAGACGACTCACTCTGTATATGCGCGTGAAATTAAAATTCGCATGAAACTTTAGCAGTCGTGACGACAATTTTGGTGCGTTTTGGTAGCTAAACCTGTGTAGCTGTGCTGTGTGTGCAAGTGTTCTCCGGCGATGTTTACCGCGATCATTAATATCTCCGCGCGTTCCGTATTACGCATTAAATTACTATTTGCGATTAATTCCATTTGCGAAATATAAGCATTATCGCGCATAAAGCAAAATATCCCCCCTCTTCTTCGCGCAGAGTACATACGCGTTTACTGCTATAGGATTCTCTCACGCGCGTTGTATTCCCGTAATATGCAGGCGTACCCGTAATCTGGCGCAACCAGGGGCAGAAATTTCGTTGCCGCATTTAAGACCAGCCTAACCATAACACGGACTGGCTGAGTATCGAATTCGACGTTGAGCAAAGCTGGTGGAACCGCAATTTACATGCGCCACGTACTGCCCTTAACGCAGCAGCGTACTATAGTCGGGCTAATGGAGGGTCTTAATACAGACAGAATTGATGATCACGATACTACGCCTAAATCTGTCCGTCGATGATAACATGAATACATTATAAAACGACGAGAGCGATTACTTTCTATCGGATATTTTCCATAATTATTTCTCGCGCGCGCGCGCGCGCGCGAATAAAATGGATCATGTCCGAGATCATGTCCGAGATGTTCGAGAATTTAAAGGGCCCAACCGACGAGTCGGCACTCCCATCGAAGAAAAGTCGCCTTCAAATCGTGTCAAAACGTCTGTCATCGAGATTAAATGCGAACGCAGAATAAGATACGTTACACGACGAGCGATACATCGTGACACTTTGACGCGAGAACCTCGCGAGTATCACCGAGCGCGATTCGCCGCATTCTACGTTGTCATCGCGAAGAAACGTGGCGGTGATGTTGTTGAAAAAAAGTAAGAAATATAATGAGACTCGCAGAAGCGTATAACCACGGGCACAAAAAGCCCGAAGAGCTTGACGAAATGCACCTCTAATAGGCTTACAAATATGATAAAAGTCTCCGTAATCTGTTTCGGTGCAGGAGCTTTTCATCCATCAGTAAGCGGCTTATTCGCTAACGAGTAGTCAAAGACAACACACGTGCAGTCGAGAATCTGATAACGATGCCGATACGAAATCGGTGTATGGAATTATTGCCGCGACTCGGTACGCTCCAATAACGAGCTGCAAATCCGCGCGTATGTGTCTGCGCGCGATGGAAAAACTTCGGGGAGAAAGAAGAAACAAGAAGAATCGAATATAAAAGTAAATCTATCGACAATCCGAGCCGCTCATAGCCTTAAAATGCACGGGCGTATCCTTTTAATTCTGCAAAACGCTAGATCAAGCGTCACGTACGAGAATTTGTACGATACTTCATCGCGTTATCGAGTTTAATCGTTTTAAGTTGATCGTGTTCCACAACACGGAACCGACCGCTGATGCCGTAAGCACGCGGCATTCGATACGGCCGATCGTGAGAGCATTCGCGTGTAGTTGAAAGAAACGACCTCTTCCCGACCCATTGTATAATTCAATAAAATTTTAATTTATCGATCTCGAATCGCCGCGCCGACTCGTCTCGCGCGTTCGCTCGCTCGCGTTCGTTTAATTACGGTTCGTTGGAGCCGCGCGCGGGATGCATGTGTGTAAAAGACTCAATTTGTATACTGGCTTTTAAAACACCCCGAACACTTTTCTCGGGTGCAGTTCGGAACACAGCAGATGTCCCCCCAATGAGGGAACTTGACTGCTGGAAATTTTTCAGAAACGCAAATTCTCTCTCTCTCTCTCTCTCTCTCGTCGGAGTTCGCTCGTTCAGCCGCGTTCCGAACTTCATCCGAAAAACTGTTCGAACACCACTTTGAAACCCGGTATATACGATCGGGGACAGAAAGGTTGCCCGGAACTTTTTATGTGAGCTCGAGAACGCACCGCAGGCTTGCGCAATGGCAGATTTCTGCCATTAGCAGATGAACTCTCCCGTTAGACTAGACGGATACATTCCGAAACTCGTAGAAAAAATGACGGCCGACCTTTCTGCCCGCGACTACACATTGACAGCGGCGCGGCAGTGACATACATCGAGCATAAACGCTACGTCGGGCTATACAACAAAGTAGACCGAGCGAAAGCTTAATTAAAAGTGTCTCACGCATCGCGAGATCTTCGCGGCCGGGAAAATCCACTTCGGAATTCGACACGGATATCGCCGTATCGCGCGTAGCCCATCAATTTTTGATACCTCCCACTGCTAGTATACGCTGTATACTTCGAAATGCAAGCTTGTGCGCAGCGAATGCGCATTTATACGATGTTCTCAGCGCACGGAGCCAGGAAGTAGAACTGACTCGATCCTTCCGTACCCGAGGCGTTGTATTCAGCGCGCCGCGCGATAACCGGCGTTATCCGGACACGTTGTGATTTTCCGCGGAAAATAAACCCGCCGCTGTTTCCGCGCCGTGCCGGGAATACCCGACGAGGAGTCGACAAGGGTGGAAAAGTCAACGGTTGACCGAGCCGACGGTGACGCTACCGCGAGAGATGACAAGAGAAACAGAGAGAAGGAGAAGGAGAGGGAGACTGAGTGAGGGTGAGGGGAGACAGAGAGAAGGGGGAGAGGGGTCGAACTGTACACGATCAACGAACGCGACGAACAAAATTGATCTTATTTTTCGCTCTCACGCATCTAACCATTATTTTCCGCCACCCGTCACGCGGGTATGCCTTTCTCGATGACATTTGCGCGCCGTATCGGCGTATCGGCGATAAGACCGAGTAATCATGTTGCGAATATCGCGTTACACACTCAACAGATTTTCAAACGCCTTCTTATTGTTCCGTAAATGTGATAAAAGATGATATTGTACAATTAGCATGAATCGCTTACTCGCCGAGTATACCGGATAAAATCTTTGCTTGTGGATATCGCTATCAAGATAGGAAAGA